ATACATACATACATACATACATACATACATACATACATACATACATATGTACATACATACTGTAAATATAAAAACAAAATAGTTTGAAAACTTACTGTATTTAAACTGCTCCTTTAAATTTGATAACAGCAGAAAATGTAAAACCTTTAAGTTTCACAAGATTATAGAATCCAAATAAACTGTGAATCTTGAAATTGTAGATGAACAGATGCTGGGATATATTCATCATTTAACGCGGGTTCCTCATTTTTCTGGACTGAATAAAACGTGCATTGAATTTAAGGAAATGCAAACGTGAGACGTCATTTAGATTTGACCCATCAAAATGAATGCGGTCATTTATTTACAGAATCAAATTTAACATCAAACATTTACATTAATTTGGCAAATTATGAAAATAACAATATAAGCAATCAATCAGGAAAAATCATACGGCCATGATTTTTCCGTTGCTGCACCACAGACATTTATAAAACTGTACAACTATGATCTTTTACCCACACGGATGTGAATAAGCACTTTACACAGACATTTCTAAATATCTGGGAGAATTTCTACTTGATAGAAAGTTAAAGATGAAAGAAGTTAAAGGGAGTAAGATTGAATGGGAAGGGAGGAATGTTCACCAGAACCGATAACTCCATCAGAAGCCCAGCTCTCCTTCGGTACGCTTGGTAGGAAACTTGATCCATTACCTTTCTGAAGATTTATCAGCAGATATGGAATTCCGTTAACGCTACCTGTCCAGCGTCTCCTGATGGGGCTGTAGCTCGTCAGAAGTAGTGGCTAGTGAAAGTTATAATCCCATGGAACTCGGAAGAGCCTTTTGTCATGTCAAGATCATCCCGTCTCTAACAGAACTTGAGCAGAACCAGCAGAAAACTCTCCAGCACTCCAGCAACTTCAGAACTCCAGAACTCTAGAAGTCTGACAACTCTCCAACTCTGTAACTCTGTGAGTCTGTGTAGACCAGGAAGTACTGACATTTTAAAGACTCTTTCCCGGTTCACTTTTTGGGATTTTTCATTGGTCAGAAACGACCAGACGGGGTGGGTTTTGTGACGTAAGAGGTTAGAGACAGCGAGAATTGTTATGGGACAGCTCAGAAATGTTCTCACAGACCGAGAGGGTTTTGTTTTGGCGTGTTTCAGGACACAGGTGCAAAACATCTCTACTTACGTCTGAGAGGATTCTAAAACATGACAGTTTTAACATAACAACTTGTTTTTCGTTTGACTGTAACCTTGTAAACGCACACACTTGCTCATTCAAAAGCAGAAATCAGAAAATGCATAAACTCTGCAACAGCTTTTAACATGAGAATAAAAATCATTACTCAGTTAATAAAATTGATTAGTTCACTGCAACATCTAAAATGGTTTGAACTAAGACACTTTGATTATCAACATTTGTAAGATAGTAATGATAATAAAAAGAGAGTGTTCTTTTCACTTGAATCTTCAAGAAAGAAAGTCTCAGGATGGGTGAACCTGTATTTATGGATTCAAATACATGAAATGACAGCTTCTGTCCCACAAGGTTCTAAAGGTCAAGAGTTTTGACCTTAGACTGGGTTTCGACGTAGGCCTAGTCCACTACAGTCCCCCCTTTGGAAATCATCACCTGTCCATGGAGATGAATTCCAACTATGGACTTACGTCGTCGATTGTCCTTGAAGCTTGATGTAATCCAGCAAAGAAACAAGAGTCAAGAGTAATCCAGCAAGGAAAACAAAAGTCAAAAGTAATCCAGCAAGGAAAACAAAAGTCAAGGTAATTCCACAATGTTCTTGGTAATTCCATTGTGTTGATTATAATTCCATAACGTCTCGATAATTCCATTGTGGCAATGCTTTAACCCCTTGGAAACAGAGTCTGTAATCCACTGGAAAAAGTCATATAATCCACAACGGTAAATCCACAACGATTGGAAGTGTTGATTAATCAGCATACAGAGGGGTACCCTTGGCTTGAACTGAAGAAGCGGCCACCGGATGAAGAGTGGAGACCAACGTCAGGATTGCAGGTCGCCTCCAGCGAAGGTTGTCTCCAGCGACGTCCAGCCTGTGCCGTTCTGGTTCAATGTGTCATGCAATTATGTGGTTTAAGGTGGGCTTATGAAGGGGATTTTACATAAGGCCTTAAACTATATGCACCTGGTGTGTAAGCTATTATGGTTGGGAACAGCTACGACTACCAGTTAAGGGGTGGAGCATGCTGAAAAGGGGTAACTACAAGGGTTTAAGCCTATAGAAAAGGGTTCCAAACTACTTTTCCATTTCTAACTTGGGTTAAGTTAGCTTTACATGGCAAAATATAGTTTGGTTCAAATGTCTGTTGTCTTTTAGACGAACGACTTGAGATTGGGTGTTTGGTTTCCCCATAAATGTTTTGGAAGTCTATGGCGAGACTTATCAAAAAGAATTAGCTATCCCCCCGAATAGAATTGTTCGAGTAGGTTCGGCTTAAGCGTTGTGAGATCAATGTAGATTATGGTACTTAA